AGTAGGGTGTACCGGGGTGACTCTAGGCGTTGTACGATCAAAGGTCCCCCCGGACACCTTGACGGGTCAGTCGACAAGGAATTCCGACTGAAGCTAGAGACCGTGAGAGAGAGGGTAGGCCGGTTATATCGATTAGGAGATACACGGGGCCAGTGATAATTGCGGGAAGACACATAAACAGGAATGGAGAAAATACACATGATTATAGCATGAGGGGCTAAAAAAAAACTAATAAAATACTAGAGATACTTAGCTCAATCAAAGTAGGATTTGCCTCCTCTTTGCCTCCCTCGTGACTCCAACAGGACTCTAATGTCTTTGTCAGACTCCAACAGGACTCTAATGTCTTTGTCTGTCTGACGCTCCAGGAAAGTGCTGCCTAAAATGGACACCTGATTGCTGAGTTCTCACAGCTGTGGGGCCACGCCCCTTTAATTAGTTAACTCTCTGCAGCTGGTGGCCCTCAAAAGGAAATCTAGACTGGCTCCCTCCTGAGTTGTTATTGTATTTTCAGTGTCACAATGGTTTTCCAATTACATTAAACCCTAAGTTATAAAGTTATGAGTTTAACCCTTAATACAGTTACACCTACTCAATAAAGCTCTTAGTATTGTTTGAATCAAAGTTTAACCCTAGCAGTCAGTTAGTTCAGTTTTAAGGTTTCAGTCAAATGAGTTGTCCCAAGTTTCTGCCTGACAGATACTTTAGCGGTTTTGAGATTTAAAATCACAATTTCAGTCAGATCAACTACAGAGCATTTATACAGAGTACACACACTGAAACAGAGAAGCCTAAAAACAGAATGTTAATCACACAATTCTAAAAGTCACCAGTTGTTATCCTGTCAAAATCGAGTTGCACACACATATCATGCGCCGTGATAAACAAAAGTTTAAAATGCCACAGTTCATTGAAAATCCCCCTCGCAAAACAATATATCTGTTCATTTGTCTGTTCAATAGCGTAGAAATAAGACATAGGCTTATATTTCAAGAGGAACATATACCATTTTCTCTCTTATGTCAGTTATTTTTATAAATGCTTTGGCTAAAAACAAGGACTTCCAAATTGGCCGGGGAGAACACTAGCAGAGGCTTTTTGTGGTACTGGAATGTGGATTTAGTCAAAGTAGACATTATGCTTGCTATTACAGTAACAGTGATCTATGAGAGATGTGTGTTTCTCTCTCGTGACCAATTTCTGTGCAGGATCTTTAGAGGAGTTCTGGGATTACGAGCACCAGGTGGATCTGGAGGCTTTCAGCAGCAACACCTTCTACAGCCTCCTGCTCAAACAGAGTCTGTCTGTCACCACACGGCTGGGACAGCTCACATCTGAGGCCTGTAGCTCTTAATTTAAATGCAAAATAAACATACAGCATGTGAATGTTTTGACCTTCTGATACTCTCTCTTTCTGTTACACACACTCTGATGTTTCCTTTTCTTGTGACAGCAGAACGTTTCCCCCTTTTTGACTGTTTCAAATACAAAATGATTAATATCCCACTCCTCCTCACATTATTGTTTTATACAAATATTTGTCTACCTCTGGAGGAAAGCAAACGGTTTTGGTATCAGACAGACAAACCACATTTCGCCATGATGACATACAGACTGATAAGGTGAAAACCATAAGGGGGTTGCTGTCTCGGCTGCTAAATATGATGGCCGGTATAAATCCTCTCATCAATCCTCTCGTCAATCCATCAAATATTGCAGCTTCAGTTAAGTTACATATTTTTCTATTCCTCGCTTTTCCACTGCCATTGTCCCATCGTCAATCATGAAATTAAACTGAACTGAAGCCGTATTAGAAGGAGCCTTTTTTTTGTTTCACCTGTCCTTGTGTTCTTCCTGTTTTTACCACCAAACTGCTGGCTGAAGTTTAGAAGACGGAGGTTGTTGTTACAGCCTTCAGGACTGCTCAAGTGATGAAGGTGTAAGGGGGGATGGCACACATGACACCCTGTGTTATCCCATAAATGTGAACGTCTTACCAATGTTAGATGCGTGCTAACTGCATTAGGGTGCGGTCAAATATGTGATCTGATACTATAATTTTATGAAGGCCCTTTTTGTGTACCAGTCATTTTGGTTTCATGTATGTATCTTTGTGTGTGAAGGTGAAGGAGCTATATCAGGGAGTGCTTGGGAAACTGCAGGTACTCCACCCACGCTCGATCACCGAGGAGAGGATCGGGGAGGGCTATGAGAGGATGAGGAGGGAAGTGGAGAGGGAGGTGTTGCGGAGGAAGACTCTTGCCTCACAGCTGAGGACTCTGCTCCACAGTCAGCTGCAGGTGCATAATGCAACATTCCCACCCCTGCATATTTCCTTTTCCTATTATAAAAGTGAAGAACATTTAAATATTTTAATTTTAATTTACAAGAACAGTGAAAGATAAAAGAGAAATATGAGGTGTATTTATGTGTTCTAGAAATAAAAAATACTTCATATATTTTGGGCTCCAATGGTATTGTAATTTATTTTCAATAATCTGCTAATTACTTTTGGTATTCAATGCTTATCTGTGAAGATTTGTAAAGAATGTACAATGTGGAAAAAAGGCCGGGGTTGATGCCACCAATTTGCTTGTTTTGTTAAAGAAATGGCCCAAAACCCATTAATTTAGTTTTTACTTTGAGAAAGCAGCAATAGCTCATAAATTAGCAGCTGGAACTAGGACATTTTTAGCTCTTTCGCTTGAAAAATGACTCCTGAAAAATGTATACATTAACAATTATCTCAGCTGTGGTTCTCTCTATTAACTGTGTAATATGTTTTAGTATGGGTGATTATTTATTTAATTTTTTGTTTCTTCAGGTTCTGGGGCGAGAGCAGCAGGCCCAGCAGAGGGTCTACAGTGTGCTCACAGCTCAGCTCAGAGAGGGCACCAGAATACTGTCCAAGGTTTATAGCAACAACCACCAGCTAAAGTAAATCTTCTACTCAACCTTTGCAAATTGTCAGAAAAAACATTCAGAATGGAGTAAATCCTCATATCCCTTCAATCTGTCCTTTCTTGTCTTCAGTTTGTTTCAGAGGCTGACCTCCCTGGTGGAGGAGATGGGAGAGCTGGTGTCAGCAGAGTGCCAGCGTCAGGGGGCCTGGGGGTTTCTGGGTGAGGGTACAGGGGCCAAGCTGCTCTGCCCTGACACTGGAACTGTGCTGACCAAGGACCACGTCTTTGGTGAGTCCAACACCCCTGGGTTTGATCACTAAAATATTAAAAAGAAAACATATGTTCTTGAAAATTGGAAAGAGAGCACCATCTGTTGGTAGAAATGTACAATGCAACAACAAGATTCCCTTATATTAAAATTAGGTTTATATTCTGAAAACATATAAATACACCCACACTTTAACAGCATTCATTCTCACCCACGCAGGTCCGTACATTATGTCTTGTATTTTCAAGTTTTCTCTCATTCTAGGTACACTGATGCATTTTCTTCTCAAACAATAATTCATAAAAATGAAATATGTATTTTTTTAAATGTACTGTTGCTATCCCTTCAATGGGAGGAAATCATCAAGACATGTGCTTTTCTACTTGATTCAAGATTTTAGACTAGAGTGATCCATTTAAGAGAAAAGGCAGCATGAAAATCTGTCACCCAGTATGGGACTCTGCTCTGATTCAGAACAGCTTAAATCATGTCATATTTATTTACAGTTTGAGGATTGCCCTAAGCTATTTCTCCTTCTGCTTCACTCCAGGTCCTGATGGGTCTCTGCGTGTCTGTCGAGCGGTTCATTGTGATTCAGTCACAGGCCTCATAAGGCCAAATGCTCACAGCCATATGCTGCTGAGCGGCGGCCACACCATGGCGGTCCCACCAGATTTCTTCCTCCACCCACAGACAGGCAGGGTTATGCCCATAGCTGGCAATGTGGCCTATGATCCTGCAAGCTCAACTTTAGTCTTCACAACTGACTCATGTTCAGGTAACATGAGGGGCGCTTGTGGGGTTTGGGGGGTGAGATTTATTTTTGCATAAGACATTTGAGCTGCAGAAACACAACAACCAAACAGAAGAAACAAGTTGTGAAGGTTAGATAATATCATATAGGGTTATAATACAAATCTTACCTTCATAAGAATTCAAAGGAAAAAAAACCACATTTAATGCCTAAAATTAAATCAGGACTAATGAAAAAGCATTTCATGATGAAAGCAAATCACAAGTGATGCCCTTGTACTTTAAACTGTGGATAACTAGTAATCCACAGGATGTGACATTACATACAGTAGAGGTGTTTTTAATGCAGCTCAGCCACCTTTTTCTTCAAA